TGGCTCAAGCCTGTAATCCCAGCACTTTGGGAGGCCGAGGCGGGTGGATCACGAGGTCGAGAGATCGAGAGCATCCCGGTCAACGTGGTGAAACCCCGTCTCTACTAAAAATACAAAAAATTAGCTGGGCATGGTGGCACGTGCCTGTAATCTCAGCTACTCAGGAGGCTGAGGCAGGAGAATTACCTGAACCCAGGAGGCGGAGGTTGCGGTGAGCCGAGATCGCGCCATTGCATTCCAGCCTGGGTAACAAGAGCGAAACTCCGTCTCAAAAAAAAAAAAAAGAACACTGATGCAAGACCAGTATCTGGGCCCATGTGTTACAATAGCAGGGTTTTCTTGGAGCATTGTTCTGCTGTTTAAAAGAAAATTGTAGAATGTTATAAAAAATTTATGGAAATCTTACCTTATGGTCAAAGTGATCCAAATTAGATAGGTTTGTAAGGTTTTATTAAAAACTTACATTAATAATATACCATACAAAGGTAAGCATTCACATTAATAATATACCATACAAAGGTAAGCTCTGGTTTTCTTTTTTTTTTTTTTGGAGACGGAGTTTCGCTCTTGTTACTCAGGCTGGAGTGCAATGGCGCGATCTCGGCTCACCGCAACCTCCGCCTCCTGGGTTCAGGCAATTCTCCTGCCTCAGCTTCCTGAGTAGCTGGGATTACAGGCACGCGCCACCATGCCCAGCTAATTTTTTGTATTTTTAGTAGAGACGGGGTTTCACTATGTTGACCGGGATGGTCTCGATCTCTTGACCTCGTGATCCACCCGCCTCGGCCTCCCAAAGTGCTGGGATTACAGGCTTGAGCCACCGCGCCCGGCCTGGTTTTCTCTCTTGAACAAAATGTTTGTGTAGTATTAAGAGATAAAATATTTTACCTTTTGAGTAAACTGCATGGAGAAAATGGAGGGGAAGAGACAGATTTAGTTGGCCTTATGCTGTCTTTCTTAAGTGTTAGGTTAACTGAGATTTTCTCTCTAGCAAAGAGTAAATGTTTTTGCATTATAATTTTGGCTACCTAAATGACAATTTTTTTTTTACTAGAAATATAATGGTTTACGTAAATGACAATTAAACTTATGATCCTATTTTGTAGTATTGAGTACATGAAATCTTTGAAATCTGACAGACTTTCCAATGAAAAAATTTCAAGTTCTAAGTTCAGTCTTTTTGACCTTAAACTAACTTTTTGGCCGGGCGCGGTGGCTCAAGCCTGTAATCCCAGCACTTTGGGAGGCCGAGGCGGGTGGATCATGAGGTCAAGAGATCGAGACCATCCTGGTCAACATGGTGAAAACCCGTCTCTACTAAAGATACAAAAAATTAGCTGGGCATGGTGGCACGTGTCTGTAATCCCAGCTACTCAGGAGGCTAAGGCAGGAGAATTGCTTGAACCCAGGAGGCGGAGGTTGCGGTGAGCCGAGATCGCGCCATTGCACTCCAGCCTGGGTAACGAGTGAAACTCCGTCTCAAAAAAAAAAAAAAAAAAAAAAAAAAAAACTAACTTTTTGGATTTTAGCCACCCTGAAGTCCAAGTGACATATTAGGCTTATTTGTAATATTAGAATTATAAAGGAAAGATTGTCAAGTCTGAGGTGGTGTTTAGCTTCCTTTGAGTTATATTGATACAGATTTTTTGTTAATATGTGTTCGAAGATTGATGAGATTTCTAAAATTCTGATATGTCTTAATACCTGTTATAATTATGATTATGTTAAATTGTTATATGCCACAGAAATAACCGAACTTCTGTCAACTGTGTCTTCATATGGATGTGTTAAGCCTTTTGTCATTCATAATTGATGTTTTGCTTTGATCTTTCTCAAAAAAAAAAAAAAAAGTGACTTGTAATCAATCAGTTACAGTCCAAGGCTTACTTCTTTGGAGGAGTTCCTGAGAAGAACTCTTGAATGCAGGTTTCTGGTAACTCTCGAGTGTGCCATTGGATTAGGCAGAAAACTTCCAAGGCGCTAAATGAAAGGCTGATGTGTTCATAAAGATGATTATGAAGTAGAGCAGGAGTTAACTACATAGACTGAAATGAACTAATGGAAGACAGAAATAATTTGTATGGCTTTTGTTGTTTGAAATATTGCTAATTTTTTTTTTCAGAGTCTGAATATCTTTTTCTTTTGAGCTATTTATAGTCTTGAACTATACTTTAAGTATATTGAGTATACTTTTGTAAACAAATAGAATTTGAGTCATATTTATAATTTCTCCAGAATTTGTAAACTATTTATGAATATTCTTAATTCATGGTAATATATTTGTATCAAGTTAGTAACCACGTTTTCTTTTGTAATAAATAGGACACAATTGAAGAAACCAGTTACTTTCTCAGGACTTTGACCGAAATGGCCTTGTAAAATGTTCCAGCAAAGCCAATCTAGGAGCGTCTACATGGACAATTATTCTTGTTGCACTTTGTGTGGGTAATCAGGCCAGATATATGGGACTGAATCTTGTTTTGAAGTTAGATTGGTTCTACTGTGATTTGTCTTTAGTGGAAGTGGCAGACTGGAGACAGAAATATTGTATGTCCCAAAATTAATATAGCTCCCAACAACCAATCCCTTATTATACCTTTAATTGCAACCACCAGACACAAGGGTTGGGAGTAACAGCAGGGGTAGGAATGGGAGTTAGTGGGACTGCAACTTCCCTATCCTATTACCAATACTTGTACAAGGATTTTATGGAAAGCTTGGATAACACTGCCCAAAGTATCATCACCTTATAAAATCAGATGGACTGACTCCTTGGCGGTGGTTGCTTTGCAAAATTGAAGGGGACTGCATCTCCTAACTGCTGAAAAAGGTGGCTTATGTCTTTTTCCTATAAGAATGCTGTTTTGGCTGGGCGCGGTGGCTCAAGCCTGTCATCCCAGCACTTTGGGAGGCCGAGGCGGGTGGATCACGAGGTCGAGAGATCGAGACCATCCTGGTCAACATGGTGAAACCCCGTTTCTACTAAAAATACAAAAAATTAGCTGGGCATGGTGGCACGTGCCTGTAATCCCAGCTACTCAGGAGGCTGAGGCAGGAGAATTGCCGGAACCCAGGAGGCAGAGGTTGCGGTGAGCCAAGGTCGCGCCATTGCACTCCAGCCTGAGTAACAAGAGCAAAACTCCGTCTCAAAAAAAAAAAAAAGAATGCTGTTTTGATGTCAACCAATTAGGATTAATAAGGAATGCCACCTGAAAACTAGTTGACTAGTCCCCCAAAATATGATAACAGCAGTCTGGATCACGGGACACCTGAAGGGCACTAAGTTGGGTTTCATGGCTCCTTCCCTTGGCCAGCCCATTATTAATGATTATACTTGCCTTCGTTTTTGGACCGTGTTTGTTAAATCTTTTAACCAAATCCATTTCCTTTTGCCTAGAGACCACTGCGTTAGACGATCAAGTGGCAAGATTTCTAGCCAGTTTCAGGTGAAGACACCACCAGCCATCAAGAAGCTACCCTGTCTCCACTAGATAGAGCAGGGTGACAGTTATGTGATCTCCAATAGGTAGAGACTGTTTCCCAAGTTAGCATGAAGCAGTTACAGAAGAAAGACCCTCAGTCTCTTGGCCTCCCATAAAGATTTAAGAGGATCGTATCTCTCAGAGCGAAAATGAGGCAGGAGAATAAGGTCTGGAGGCAGGGACTAAGGCCAATTTGTGTTGACTTCCTAGAAGTCAATCAAAAGGAAAGCCCTACCTCTCCAAACCTAAGTAACAAAAGGATCAGAGGCTACTCCTTTGCAATCCCCTCACCTTTTTTGTGTTGCAGATAAAAAATGAAATTACCTCTGACTGGTCCCCTCCTGCAACCAATCAGACTGGTTGTGGGCCAAGTCTTCATTTACACAGGAGTATAACTTTGTAACTTCACTTCAGCCTCTGAGTGGTCACTTTCTGCAACCACTCAGACAGGTCATGGGCCACGACTTCAGTTACACAGGGTGTACACCAACTAACCAATGGCAAACCTCTAGAGGGTATTTAAACCCCAGAAAATTCTGTAACCAGTGCTCTTGAGCCACTTGCTTGGGCCTGCACTCTGTGGAGCATACTTTCATTTCAGTATATCTATGCTTTTTCTCATTGCTTTGTTTGTGCATTTTGTCCAATTCTTTGTCCAAAATGCCCTCCACCAGTAACAGTTTGACCAGTTATTTATTGTATTACTTAGGACGGCATTTGGCTGCATGTAAGAGAAACCTGACAGAGGCCTAATTAAGCACAGTGTTTATTCTCAAGAATCAAGAAGTCAGAGGTCAGCAATTCAAGCTGGTGTTAGCAGCTCCTTGAGGTATGTCAGCAAGGAACTAAGCTCTGAGTCTTTTCACTAACATGACCCGAAGCATGTAGCTGCCTTCCTTATGCCTAAAAATGGCTCTGGTACTCAGGTTTTATCTTCCTACTCAAAGTAGGATGAAGAGATAAGAGCAAAGGCTTATGCTTGCCATGTCTGGCCTTTTGTATCAAAAAACCCAGCAGGTTTATCAAGCATAATTCCACTTGTATCTCTTAACTTGACAGAGCTGTCTCATGGCCACCCTTAGGAGGGCAATGGTGTGATCTCGGCTCACCGCAACCTCCGCCTCCTGGGTTCAGGCAATTCTCCTGCCTCAGCCTCCTGAGTAGCTGGGATTACAGGCACGCACCACCATGCCCAGCTAATTTTTTGTATTTTTGGTAGAGACAGGGTTTCACCATGTTGACCAGGATGGTCTCAATCTCTTGACCTCGTGATCCACCTGCCTTGGCCTCCCAAAGTGCTGGGATTACAGGCGTGAGCCACCGTGCCCGGCAGGGGGGGGTATTTTTAACTAGGCACATTACCATCTCCCCAACCCAAAGTGGACCTATTGTTAATGAAAAAGATACAATGAGATGTTTATGAAATTCTTTGTAGCTATTAATGTCAGGTTTTTGAAATTTACTGACCTGGAAGAATACTCATAATGTAATGTCAAGTGAGAAGCAAGACAAAGAACATTTGCAATACAACTGTATTTCTAACATTCTGTTTACACACAAAGAAGTATTTTGCTTAAAAATATAATTTACACATATACACACCCATACAGGGGAAATAAAATAATACTAGCTAATTTCTATAGAGTTGGCATTTTAAGTATTGATGAATAGATGTAGTTTATTAATTTTTTTCCTGTATTTCCTAAATTTTCCATATGGAACTTGTAGTATCTTTATAACAGGAAAAAAAAATGTTATTTTAAAAAAACACCCCATATACTTTCAAAGCAGACCAAATTCAAACTATTTACACTTACTCATTTTCATCTTCGTTGTCAAAAGAAAGGAGGCTACTGTTTTTTATTTGTTTTTGTGAGTTCTTTTTGACTGAGTCCTGATTTATTTCATCTTCATGTGGCTTCTTCTTTTTTGAGCTTGCTGTTAAACCTGAACATTTTTCATTTGAGGGACGCTTGACTGGTTTTCGATACAGGATTCTCCCATCAGCTGAAGCTGGTTCTTCATCTGAGCAAAAACAGATTTTTATGAACTCTATTCTCTCCTCATTACTTTGTCTTTGAAAAGTCTCGTATTTAAGGGTGTCCCTGAATCTGATTCAGTCTGATCCCCTCCATTGTTTCTAGCTAGATTGCCCTCGAGACATGCAGTTACTGAATAAAAACTCACATGCTAAAGTATTCTACAAATATTGTCAGCTCCCAGTTACAATTAGGTTGTATTTTTAAGTGTTTTGAAAGTGATTGGAACTACAGCATCTTCCCCTAAAGCAATGTAGTAAATGTTCAGAAATAATGAAAAATATACTACATAGCATACCAAACAGTAATGAAACACACCTTTTCGAGTGGTTTATAAGTCTAACCATCTATTTAAAAAAAAAAAAAAAAGGATGCCTTTACTTAAACTCACACATAATCCTATAACAACCCAATGGGTACAATTACTTCCATTTTACTGATGAGGAAATTAAGGCTGAGCAGTGTAATAACTTGCTCAAGGTTATACATCTGGTAAGTGTCAAAGCTAAAGCTTGAACCTGGAACTATCACCTTGAAACATACCACACTGCTAAATAAAATAAACAATTTCGTACCCTGGGTTCCTTAAATTGTTAGAAAAACCAGATTACTTTCAGACCTACCTGCTCTGGCAGCCTTTATTTCTGCTTTAATTTTCATGACTTCTTCAAGTGATAGGTCTCCCTTTTTCAAAACCACCACTTGAGGCTGTTCATCTTCTTTGTCACTGTGATCCCCATCTTCTTCTGGGAGCTGAGGCTGGATTCTCTAGGGAAAAACACAAATACAACGTGTAGATCACTGATCTTTAGACAAACAGAACCACTGCCTCTAAGAGAAACTGTAGTTATTCATGAGAAGGGTATCTTTATTGAGTAAATCAATTTGGCAGTGAATTTTAAGGTAACTCCAAAGAGACTAAGCTTGCCAAAGGGAACAGGTTTCACTACCACTCACCCTGAAATGCCTGTCCAGTGATTCATTTCCATCTCAGCAGGACCCAGCTTGTAGTTACTAGTGTGACGGGCTCCCTGCTTTGGGTACTGTTGTCATTCCTGGCCTACTCAGGCCTGCACTCTGTCCTGTCAGTTGTTTGCTCCTCATCAACACTTTTCACCTGTCTCTTCTCCGACTTAGACAAGAAATAAACACCACCAAAGTATAGAAAGCAGCAAGTAAAACTGTTTCTCTCACCTCTGCTCATCTTTTCACCCTACTAATAACAGCTTCGGTTTGGTAGATATCCTATTAGCTATTTTCCAAGTCTATAGAACTATGTAGCTACAGAAAACTTTTTGTATACCAACAACACTGTACATGTTACTGTGACTTGGTTTTTTCTTATTTCTCAAATATGAGGTACAGAGAATAGCACAACAGAAACCATGCACTCCCTGTATGTGTAACAAATGGTAATATTTTGCCAGTTGATTCAGATTTTTGAAATCTCACACACCATAAGAGCCCCACTCCCACAACTTAATTAAAAAAAATCTTTGCACAGTACTTTAAGACACATGTAAAATTATTTGATTTAAAAAAAAAAATCAACGCCTTGCACTTAATTACATATATGGTAATCTCATGATTTATTTGACCAGTATTTTGTAAATAAAAATTTTGCTTGTTTCCAGATTTTTTTCTACTATGAAAAAACTTAATACATGCAAGAACTTCTGTTAACAGTTACTAGAGCTGAAACTTGGGTTGAAAGGTATGCACACCAAAATGTGTTTTCACCTGTTATTCAAACACAATCGCTCATTACTCCACCTCTCGCAGAGTCTTCCTTGTCTCCTAAACAAGGAAACAAAGCCCTGCAAGAATTAGTCTCAGCCCATAACCACAGCTTTATCCTGTGCCACTCTCATGGCATCTAGGCTCTAGCAAGGTTTGAGTACTTGGAGATTCATAAATATATTAGCTCCTTTGCTTTTCCTGTCTTTGAACAAATTCCTACTGCCTACTAAGCCCCACTGCCCCCGGCCAACTCATACTCAAGCTGCCTTCCAGACTTACGAGCCTCTGGAAGTAAGACAGAAGAGCTTCTTCTGTCTTACGCTGTGCATAGCTCAAAGGTAGCAAATATTTCTGGAAGTCCCTGCTGTTTCCAGCCTGGATAACAGGGAGACCTCGTCTCAAAAATAAATAAATAAATAATCAAAGCTATTTTGTGAGGCTAATGCATCTGTGTCCTTATCTGGCATACGGGACGACGCTGTAACTGCAACTCACCCTGCGAACTCAGCTTTTGAGGTAAACAAGTGAGGAAGAGAAAGGAAAGTGATCTTTCTTTACCATCATCTATCAAGGACCAGGCGGTTTACACGTCAGGTCATTTTCAGGAACACAATAGCGCTCTGAAAACTACAGAGCTTCCTGAGCGTAGGGGGCTGTAGTCGCCTGAAAAGAACCAGCCTGGAGTCGGATTCCACCGGAATTGGGGCCAAGCGCGGGTGAAAAGAGGGACCCGACAGCACCCAGCCTCCAAGCAGAGGCAGAAATTGGAAGTGGCGGGCGGGCCTCGCTTCCAAAGTATCACGACTGGCGAGAGCTCACCTTGGTCTCTACGGTGGGCCCCTCCCTGTAGCCGACCCGTTCCTTGAAGCGAGCCAAAAACGCTGGCTCGGCTGGCCGCACGTAAGATACCTGGTTCCGCTTGCTCATGGCAGCGCGGGGTTAACACAAGTTCCGGGACGGATTGGCGACGACACAGCGGCGAGGGCACTTAGCTGTGACGTCATCTGGGCCACGCCCCCGATGCGTAGGCCGGGCAACATGGCGGTCTCCTCGCGGGCGTCAACGTCTGATCCAAGCGCCAAATTCAAAATCGCGGCCATCTTGAGCGGGCGGAATTCTGTCGCGCGGCGCAGTCAGGAGGTGGGGGCATCAGCTGCATTGTTCTCGGGAACGAAGGGTGAGGGCGCTATGGCGCCCGGCTGCAAAAGTAAGTTTGGAGCCCCGGCTTCGTTACCCTATCTTTGCCCCCAAAAGCAGCTATGAAAGGATAGCAGCCTGTGACCACCCGCCAGGTTCGTGCTGGGCACGAGCTGCAGGGACTGGCCTGGGGCGGGAGCGGCGGGTGCGTTTGGGAATCCCTCTCTGTCGCTCAAAGACAATAGGCTGGCCGTAAAGCTCACCCCCTCCTTCTGTGTCCTGTGCGCATGCTAAGAGTCTGGCGTATTTATGGGCGCTCAGGATGAGCAGTGGACCTGCGGTTCTTCCCTTTCTTTCCCTCAGTTCTGCTGTTTCTTCGCAGCCCTCTTCCCGCATCCCGACCAGGGCTGCCTCTCCAGATATCCTTGTCTCACAATCGGCTTTTGCTCCCACCAGCTTCTGTGTGTTTCCACATTTCTGACCTTCCTGTAAGGAAGGATACGTTATGTTCCAAACACTTCTTTCTCTTCTTTCCTTAAATAAATAGAATGTTAAAACACAGATGTCAGCAATGTCTTTATATTCTCACAGTCTATTTCACTTAAAGGAGACGCGTCCGATTTCTTTTCTCTTTTTCACGGAGGAGGGCACTATTTTTGCTTACGATAAACGTTTCAGTTTTCACTAGTCATTTGCTGTTCTTGTGTACGTGCGCCACGTCTTACATTGCCACATCTCTTAAGGAGTCTTGTTTTTTAAAGCTGATGATTATGAGCTGATTTAATGGGATCTTTGTGAGTGGTCTGAATGGTAATGAGGAGAGGCCTAGATTAGATGATTAAGAATTTGTGAACTGTCATTTGAGCTTTCCAACAGCGTTAATGTTTCTAGCTTTCTGTCAATTGTAATTGCTTTTGATGAGTTTGTTGTTCTATTAACCTTTTAGGTCGATCACGTCATTATCTGAACACCTCTTTATGCTATCTTTTTTCGTCAAAAATATTTTTCTTCATCATTTTCAGTATTCAAGGACGATGAGCTCACAAAATAGTACCTTATCGGAGAGAAATGTTCATCCTGCTTTCTGAACAATCATACTGTTTTTTCCCACTTGTAGATCAGGTCACTAAATTTGGACTCAAGCAAAAATATTTGATGCTTGTGACTTAAGTAGAGCATCTGCTTATTTAATGAGATATATGTATGTGACTAAGGACTCTTGTCTGAAAACCAGATTTGAGAACTTAAGTTGTGGGAGCACTTTCATTTATGATGGCGGTGATGCCATGGGGAACTTTTCCACTCTCTTAAGTTTGTTGGCAAAATTGAGGTTGATGACTTCCCAGGTGAAGTGCTTCTTGCATTCCCAGCAGCCCAGAGGCCTGGAGCATGAAGTGGGAACACATGGGAGAAGAGAGCCCATGTAGTGGTCTTTGCAACTTTTATTTTGTGCCCGTGAAGGCTATCTCTAGAGACATCATTGGCACCAGGTGTTGCTGACTGTGAAATCATATAATGAAAAAGTGAAATATTACCCTTATGAAACTGACCGTATTTACGATTCCCCTTTTTTGTTGTTTATTTGTTTTTTGAGACAGAGTCTTGCTCTGTTGCCCAGACTGGAGTGCACTGACGCAATCTTGGCTCACTGCAATCTCTGCCTCCTGGGTTCAAGCAATTCTCGCGCCTCAGCCTCCCAAGTTGCTGGGATTAAAAGTGTGCACCACCACACCTGGCTAATTTTTTGTATTTTTAACAGAGATAGGGTTTCACCATGTTGACCAGGCTGATCTTGAACTCCTGAGCTCAAGCAATCCACCTGCCTTGTCCTCCCAAAGTGCTAGGATTATAGGCGTGAGTCACTGCACCTGGCTTAAGATTTCCTTTCTGAACCTAGTCATGTTTCGGTAAATGACTGGGGAGTATTTATCTAGACTGCAAAGTAAAGCATCCAATGGTCTTTTTAAAGCAGGAAGACTCTTTAAAAGACTTACTGTTTTGTTGAGGTATAACTTCATGCAGTCAAAGGCACAAATCTTAATATTGTTCAACAAATTTTAAACATATGAATACACTCCTGTAACCACCATCCAGATCAAGAAATAGAACTGTTCCTGTACTCCAGAAAGTTCCCTGTGACCCTTCTTAGTCAATAACTACCCCATCCCCAGCCTTTACTCTGATTATTATCATCACTGATTAGTTTTGCTTCTATTCTCGAACTTAATATAAATGGTACAATATGTATTCTTTTTATTCTGGTTTCTTTAACTGAACATTATGTCTGTGAGCATAGCCCATCATTGTATGTAGCAGCAGTTCTTTTTCATTGCCCTGTAGTGTTCCATTATGTGAGTATACCATGTGTCAGGCCTCCATGTGCAAGCCCAGACCCAGAAAGTCTGAAGTCCTGCCTGTCTTGGCTGATTGTAGCCCCCAACCCCAGCATTTGCCATTATTCCTAATTGCCCAGCGGAGCTTCCCACCTTCTCACATTAAGCTGCTTACCCCACCCTGCCGTCCTAACTGTTCTTGCTCTGTGAATATCCCTCCACCCCACCCTTCTATCTTAACTACTCTTAGGTCTTACCACCCCCCCAATTGTAACTGAACTTACGTTAATGTATACTCCTTACCTCTACCCCCACCACCGTAACTGATCTTACTCTTAACACCACTACACATCACAAACCTATAAAAGCAACTGTTATCCTACCACCCTTCACTGACACCCTTTTCGGCCTCAGCCCACCTGCACCCAGGTGAATAAACAGCCATGTTGCTCACACAAAGCCTGCTTGTGGGGTCTCTTCAAGAAAAGCTCGAGTTTTAACACCATGATTTGTTTATTCTCCTGTTGATTGACATTTGAAAGAATTTTATAGGGAATGCCTATAGACTTCTTTTTTTCTTTTCTTTTCTTTTCTTTTTTGAGACAGAGTCCTGCTCTGTCACCCAGGCTGGAGTGCAGTGGTACAGTCTTGGCTCACTTCAACCTCCATCTTTGTTCAAGTGATTCTCCTTAAGAATTTTAGATTCCTTTTAGTTTTACCAGAAAGTTGCATGTAAGTGCAGATCAGTATCCATCTGATCAGTTTCCATCTGATATATTTCCCTCCTATTACTGTTAAACCTTTGATATTGCTCCTTAGGAAAGCATAGCTTTGGTTATGCCCACCTTTATCCTGGGATGTCAGTGGTTTTGACAGGGATCTCTTTCTTTCCCTGACTTCATACAGCTGTTAAAGTCCAGTAATTGTTAGCTGATTGCCTTATTGTTTTCTAACGATGCCCTGGGGCATAAATTATCTTACAAGCTACCGTAATTCTTGCTTCTTTGAAGGAGTAGTTTCTGAGGTTGTCTTTGGTATCTGTTGTGACTCCAGTGTAGCTGCTGCTAGTTGTCTTATTTCCCATTGTCTTCTGGCTAGCCAACAGGCCTGCAATTTAGCTTGTGTCTTGAATGTCTTCCTAATTGCTTTCATTAAAACCGACACTTCCTGAGAGTCCCCTTAGGTTTGAACATCATTTTATTGCCCAGGCTGGAGTGCAGTGGTTCGATCTTGGTTCACTGCAACCTCCCCCTCCCAAGTTCAAGCAATTCTTCTGTCTCAGTCTCCCAAGTAGCTGGGACTACAGGCATGCACCACCATGCCTGGCTCATTTTTTGTATCTTTAATAGAGATGGGGTTTCATCATATTGGCCAGGCTGGTCTCAAACTCCTGACCTCATGATCTGCCTGCCTCAGCCTTCCAAAGTGCTGGGATTATCGGTGTGAGCCACCGCGCCTGGCCTTTTTTTTTTTTTTTCTTTGAGATGGAGTCTTGCTCTGTCACCTAGGCTGGAATGCAGTGCCGTGGACTCAGCTCACTGCAACTTCCACCTCCTGAGTTCAAGTGACTCTCCTGCCTCAGCCTCCCAAGTAGCTGAGATTATAGACATGCACCACCATGCCCAGCTAATTTTTGTTTTGCATTTTTAGTAGAGGTGGGGTTTCACCGTGTTGGTCAGGCTGGTCTCAAACTCCTGACCTCAAGTGATCCACCTACCTCAGCCTCCCAAATTGCTGGAATTACAGGCATGAACTGCCTGTAATCTGTTTATGGGTTGATTCTTCCTGTAGGCAAAAATCAGATCTCTGAGCCTGCGTACTAGAGTTGGGGATGGGATTAATAGGATAATGGCAGTCTTGTCTCTGAATGATACCCTTTCTAGTTGCTAAGCATTTTGTGGGGAGGGTGTGGAGTGTAGCAGCCTCTGGTCTTCTAGACTTTCATCTCCTGTGTGGAACCACTGCCTAATGAGTTAGAGCAAGGGCGATCAGGGCCCCAGTGTTCTCAGGTAGGTGGGAGAAGGGAGAGCCCCCACCTCTCAGCCACACTTATCTGGGACTTTACCTCAGCATCAGGTAGCTAGCCAGAGACACTGACACACTGACATCCTGCTACTCTATAGAAGAAACGCCTGGAACTGGGAGCTGGAGGGATCCCTGTGTTCCTGGATGCTGCAATCTACAGTGGAGTATTTACCTTGCTGAGATGGGAGGAAGAGAGCAATCTTGGTTCAAATAACACAGGATCACCTTTCTTGATGAATTTTCATAGATTTTCTTGAAATAAATTTAGTTAAGTCCATTCAGTTAACTCAGGTTTTGCTTGGTATTCGTGAACATTTCAGCTCTTCATGAGTCCTGTTTGTTTTTTATTTATTCTAATGTCACAATCTCCAAAGTTATCAGAAACCTGCATTTGAGAGCACCGTCTTTTGAAGAGGATGAAAATAAGACAATTGTCTGAATAACAAAATGTCCAGGGTACAGTCAGAAACACAATTGACAAATCAGTTTGGTTATCTCTGTGGTGTACAGTAATTTAACATAACAACCTTAATTGTGATTGATAGCATATACTCATGAGGGGCCCTAAAATAATTCTGATGGCCTGAGACTCCTTGGAAAAAAATCAGAAAAGGCACCACAGATTCCATTTTGACAGCCAGGCATTAAAATATTATAAATCCCATATAATTTTGGAACATATATTAATATTATTCCCTAAAATATAACCTGAAGAAGATTAAACATCATTTTGGCAATCCTGTATACCTAAGCATGTCAGGTAATCCTGTTTACCTCTCTTCTGGATGCTCCAAGGGCCCTCTGCAGCATCCAAAAGCCAGGGGTCAGGAAAGAAAATTTTTTTTTTTTTTTTTTTGAGACGGAGTTTCGCTCTTGTTACCCAGGCTGGAGTGCAATGGCGCGATCTCGGCTCACCGCAACCTCCGCCTCCTGGGTTCAGGCAGTTCTCCTGCCTCAGCCTCCTGAGTAGCTGGGATTACAGGCACGCGCCACCACGCCCAGCTAATTTTTTGTATTTTTAGTAGAGACGGGTTTCGCCATGTTGACCAGGATGGTCTCGATCTCTTGACCTCGTGATCCACCCGCCTCGGACTCCCAAAGTGCTGGGATTACAGGCTTGAGCCACCGCGCCCGGCCAGGAAAGAAAATTTTGAAACTGAAGTTTAACTTTGGGAAGCCCATTGAATATGTTAGAGGTCTGAAACTTGATGTTATGAATGAGAATTCCAGATTACCATAAGTTATTTTTCCAAAATGATGACTCAGAAATTTTAAAAAGCAAAAACCTTTTATAACCCTTTACAGATTTTTCCTAAAGAGCAGATTAGTGCCTTAAGAGAACCTTGTTGTGCTTTTATTTCAATGCTTAATTTATGGAAAAGCCATATAATACCCCTCTGAATTTAGTCAGTATGTTAACATTAGGAATTTTTTTTCTGAGATTAATTTTTACAGACCTTCCACAACTTGTTTAAACATTTAGCTTTATCTTACCAAATTCAAAACAATCCTTTAACCCTAGGCAAAAATGTACATTTTGATGATATCTGCATTTTATCAATAATTTTTTTTTGCTGTTAGAAATTTCTTTATTATTACTTATTCTTATTAAATGCCAGCCTAATACAGCAGAAAATTTCAAATCACCCTTGATAACACACTTTCTTTTTTCTCCTACCTGAATTCTTGATCAAGAGTTTTTTAAGTAAAGACATGCTCTTCTCTCTTCTGTATAAAACTTTATGAAATAAAGGCAAAAAGATTGTGTGTATCTTGCTGGAAAATGCTGCCCAGGGCTCTGGAGATGGTGGCTGCCTGAGCTCCCTTCACTGTCCAGGTCCTGAAAGACTCTTCTTCATGAACTGTCTCTTCATAAAGCAAGTCCACCACTTGCTGGGTTTATCATTCTGAGGGTTGAAAACTTTCTCACAAAGGCTCAGTCCAGTCTCTTGCCTTAGCTGTTGTAAATAGGCTTTCATCACTTCATCTTCCTGTTTGTTTGAAGGTTTGGCATAAATCGCATTAAGTGGAAAAACAGATTCTCCAGGAATGGGAAAATTAGTGATTCCCAGTGTATACATTTCTTTCTCACCTTGACTTTTGGAATTGCACTTTTGGAGTTTCTTCAGACACTCAGAAATGTAGAGAGTTATATATATCAAGGTCCTATCAGCTTCATTCTTAATTTCATAGTTCTTGAAGAAGACATTGGCCTTGAAGTAATAGATGGTGTCATCCACAATATCTGTATCTTTTGTCTCTCTGGGGGCAGGTCCTTTGAATTGACTTCTGGGTAACAGTGCCATGTTTCCAGTGAGTTTGGTGTCAGGATCCATGAGAGAAGAGTGGTAAGCCAGCATCTTGGTGGCACCCGGGTTTCAACCCAGAGGAGCAGGATCAAGTTCCAGTGGTGTGCTTCTGGTCTGGCAGCCGGGGTGGAGTAGCTTATCAATAATTTTTAAGGCTGTTTTTATTTCTCAAAGATTAAAGTCACGTGAACTAAAAGGAACCACAGCTTTTTTTTTGTTGTTTAAGAAATATTTGATCTAAGTGCTTATTTTCCTTTAAGCCAATTAATTGGAACACTTTTTTTAATGGACATCACACATACACAACACATATATAACTACCCATGCAGAAGAAGATCCAGTAGCTATAAGATTTTCTGTTCATCACTTTCCTAACTGGCCTCTGAGTGGGGCCGTTTAAGAGCAGGGCTAAGAGAGCATATAGTTTCTAGGGCCTAGTAAACTGGTATTGTTGGAAGACAAAATCAGATTTTGAAAGGGATCCAATTCCTGGGACTCCATTAGGAAAACAAATTACAAAATGGAATCCATGGAGTTTTTCTGTTTTCCCAAGGAGTCTTAAGGCCATCAGAAATTATCTTAGGGCCCCTCATGTGTGCATTAAGAGTGGCAAGACAGGGCCGGGCGTGGTGGCTCACGCCTGTAATCCCCGCACTTTGGGAGGCCGAGGTGGGTGGATCACGAGGTCAAGAGATCAAGACCATCCTGGTCAACATGGTGAAACCCCGTCTCTACTAAAAATACAAAAAATTAGCTGGGCATGGTGGCACGTGCCTGTAATCCCAGCTACTCAGGAGGCTGAGGCAGGAGAATTGTCTGAACCCAGGAGGCGGAGGTTGCGGTGAGCTGAGATCACGCCATTGCACTCCAGCCTGGGTAACAAGAGCGAAACTCCGTCTCAAAAAAAAAAAAAAAAAAAAAAAAGAGTAGCAAGACAAAATGGAGACAAAGAATTCAGTTGACTGAGGGGAAAAAAAATAAAAAAAACCCTTCCCCAGCAAAATAAGATCCAAGAAGAGAAAAATATATACTATAACTTGGGTATCCACCTTGAACTAAGCTGAGCCCTTTTTAAGAAAATCCTTTTAATCCCTTATTACCCAACATTAGCCATGCTAAGTGGCCAGCATTTCTGCCCAAACTTTACCAAAGGTAACCTCCCAGGTAGTCAGAGAAAGGAATATTCAAGGTGATTCATGGAGGTGAAGAGAATCAACAAATGGCAAAGGTCACACAGATATCAAATCAGAAAGGATTTATTCTTCAAGCCAGGATTGAACCTAGGCCGCATTATAAAATGGCAGAGGCTAAAACAAAGCACCGGACACGTAGTTACAGGCCACGCTTTCCAGGACATAAAACAAGATGGAGGCCTACAGCAAAGTTTGCCATTGACCAGTTTGCCAGGCTGGTTTGAACAGTGGATCTATGGAGTCCTAGGCGAGGATCCCATCCTAAGGTACCCCTCTTTATGACAGAACCATACAGAAAGACATGGCAGATTACACCAGATTGACTATAGCTTAAGCCCAACCTCACAGATTCTTTTTTCATAATTGAAACCTTCATCTTCTAAAAGGAAAAAAAAAAAAAAAAAAAGAAGATGTAAAAGCTAACCCCTAGTGAAAAAAGGAAAAAATGGACAGTTAATACCCCGTTGAAAAAGGAAAAAAAGAAAAAAAGAATGTTAACCCCTGGTGGAAAAAAGAAAAAAAAGCTTAACTGCTGGGCTGGGAAGATGCCTGAAGGAAGAACCTCTTATTCTTATGCAAATGGTTTCTCCAACAGGAGAGAAATCTTTAATCACTATTTCTTCCTGGGGATCAGACCTAGCTGGGCCCCTCCGCTAGGGGAGGAGAAGACTCTTTGAGCATGTAGTGGGAAATGCTAGCTATCAGCCAAGCAGGGCCCTTGGGCTATGCGTCCTGGCCCCACCCTGGAGGAGAGAGGTGCAAGGAGCTGCTGCTTGCTGTCTATCCTACAAGCGTGCCTGCAGCCGTTGGGTTGAGAGTAGAACACCCTCAGTATTGTAAAAGAAAAGATAGGTGCCATTACAGTCTCAAAAAAAAGAGAAGGAAAATGCTACAGAAAAGGCTGGGTTGGAAAAAGGCCGACATTCCCCACCCCTGAAAGTGATGGGGGGTACAGGGGTATGCAGTTTTCTCTACTCTCAGAAGAAGTCCGAGGACAGGAAGGCTCAGAAACGAGGGAAAAATATTTTTGGTTCACATTTTGCTCACCTTACTCATGTCCCCATACGGGCCACCAAAATGATGCCGGATTTTTAGCTCCTTAGCTCTGCTAAAATCCAGGTTCTTGTTGCATGAGCAGGAGAAATTAGGCACATGGACACATTGAAAGGTAAGAAGAGCAGAATTTATTAAAAGAAAACTCTCAATGAAAAAAGGGGGTCCTGCCAAAAGGCTCCCACCTCACAGATTGAATACCAGGCCACAACACACCAGCTGAAGAGTCCAGGCTTTTCCCCCTGCCTAAGTCAGAAATTCCAGGTGGTTCCACCCCATTCTCCCAGTGCACAGGTAGGCCCTTAGTCTAAGCCACTCCACATTGATTTATTTCTCTTACTATGCATGTGTTGAAGGACGGATTTTTTTTCGCTGTGGTCATGTTTTGGCAAGCCCCCTGTGCACAATGACCTGGGCGGCATTTGGTTGTCTCCTGTCTGTATCACCAGGAGACTAAGTATCATGGTATAATGGGTTGGGATAGAATGAGAATAGGATCAAAGCCTGGGCTGTGGAGCGTCACATTGTTGATGTCAGGGATCTGAGGAGGCTGAATGTAGGCAACCTAGGAGCATGGTAGAGAAGAATGAGATTTCCATATGTCAACTTAAATGACTTTTAATGCCTTTTTTTTTCTAGCTGAGTTACGCAGTGTGACAGATGGTCAGTCTAACCAATCAAGGTAAGAAAAATATTCTTGATGAGCTCCAAAAGAACTAGGGATGGAATATTCTTAAAACAACCATTTAGCAACCAACTGGAAATTTGGGAAAATCGCATAGTCCCCCTGTCTTCTCACTTTTCCAGGCAAATGATGGAATCAATAGCATAATTCTCCTCTGGAATGACTTATTTCTTACTGCTAGTAAGAGGAAAATGAGAGACACGCAGTACTTGGAACTCCATGAAATGAACTCACACTCCCTTTGAGTTCAAGTAAAGGGTTGTGAAGGTGCCTGTTGTGAATTAAATCAATAAAGGGTATGGGTCATGTGAGACTTTTTAAAAAGAGGTAAATTTGGCCTGGCGTGGGGGCTCACACCTGTAATCCCACATTTTGGGAGGCCAAGGTGGGCAGATCACCTGAGGTCAGGAGTTGGGGACCAGCCTGGACAACATGATATAACCTCATCTCTACTAAAAATACAAAAGTTAGCTGGGTATGATGGCAGGTTCCTATAATCCCAACTAATGGGGAGGCAGAGGTTGCAGTGAGCCAAGACCACACCATTGTATTCCAGCCTGGGCAACAAAAGTGAAACTCCATCTCAAAAAAAAACAAAACAAAAAAAAAAAAACATAAATTCGTATGGGGTATGTCTTGGACTTTGTTGGAGAAACTCATTACAGAAACATTACAGGCAATAATAGACTTGGATCCTTTTTCAGTTTTCTTCCTTCTTCAATAAACTTAGCTGTTACTTTTTTTTTTTTTTTTTTTTGTCTTTAGTAATGAAGGTGATGCCATCATAGTTTTTGTGCGAATTCGTCCTCCTGCAGAAAGATCTGGATCAGCTGATGGGGAGCAGAACTTATGCTTATCTGTGCTCTCCTCCACGAGTCTCCGGCTGCACTCCAATCCTGAGCCCAAGATTTTTACGTTTGATCATGTTGCAGATGTGGATACCACTCAGGTAATGATAATTGGAAACTTAACTTTTTTTTTTTTTTGAGGTGGAGTCTTGCTCTGTTGACAGGCTAGAGTAGTGGTGCGGTCTTGGCTCACTGCCACCTCCACCTCTGGGTTCCAATGATTCTCCTGCCTCAGACTCCCGATTGGCTAGAACTACAGGCGTGTGCCACTATGCCCAGCTAATTTTTGTATTTTTATTAGAGATGGGGTTTCACCATGTTGGCCAGTTTGGTCTCGATCTCCTGATTTCATGATTTGCCCATCTCGGCCTCCCAAAGTACTGGAATTACAGGCATGAGCCCCCATGCCTTGCTGGAAACTTAACTTTTTACCTGGAATATATAAACCTTCATTATTTCTTAAGAATTTCATTTCTGGGCTGGACTCTTTAGTTTCATCCATTTAAAATAAGGAAACTCAGACATTCCATAAATATTTTAAACCTAATTTTGTTAAATAGTTTCTTCCTTTTTCATCAAACTTTGTAGCAGAATGACCAAAGCTCCTTTTTTTTTTTCCTACTAAGTGACAGGAAATTATGGGCATAGTGACACATGCCTGTAATCCCAACTACTTGGGAGGCTAAGGCCGGAGGATCACTTGAGCCCAGGAGTTTGAGGCTGCAGTGAGCTATGATGGTGCCACTGCACTCCAGCCTCAGCAACAGAGCAATACTCCATCTCTTAAAAAAAAAAAGTCTGTGATGTTGAGTGTAGTAGCCATAAGTTATATGTGGCTATTTTGATTTAACTTAATTAAATAAAACTGGAAAGTCAGTTCCTCATACAAACTAACCATATTAAAAGTGCTCAACAGCAACATGTGTCTTGTGCATCTCAGGCACTGGAGGTTAGTGGAGATGTACTTTTCAGATCCAGTGGATGATTAAGAAGTACCATTGAACTACCTAATCTAAGGAATTAGGATTACCATGATGTCAACAACTGCTTTTCTAATTAAGGTCAACTTAATTAAGACCTAGTTAGTGCTATCCAATAGAGCTTTCTGCCGTCATGGAAATGTTCTGTATCTATCCTATCTGTTACAATAGCCTCTAGCTACATGTGACTATATAAGTTTAATTAAAATTAAATCAAATTTAAAATTCAGTGCCTCAGATGTGTGTGTCTTGCTATGTTACCCAGGCTGGTCTCAATCTCCTGTCCTAAAGC